AATAAATAAAAGTTCTTTACAACAAAAAAGTTTAACGAACATATTACATTAAAAGAAAATCATTACCAAATTTGGTCATGAGATTCAAAATGTTGTAACACAAAAATTATTGTTGCACTTCTGAGCATAACTTTCAAATTTAAAAAAATCTATGAAAAGAAAATTTGAGACAATTTTATTATCATTAATATTAATTAAAAAAAGTTAAAATTATCACGTGATGATCATCAATTACCTTGGTTACCGAATACCTCGTTATAACAGTCATTGGGGCCAAACCAATATGTTCGTTATAACGAGGTTTGACTGTAACCAATAAAAAAACACTAATACAAAATCATGAGAAATCTAGAAAGAAACAAAAATTAGAAGAGAAATAATTTACAACCAATTTGAGTTATATGCCTTTAAATTCATCCTTTACAAATGGGCAAATATTATTATGAAGGTATTCTTGCTGCTTGTAATACAAATTAGGAGATGTTAATACTAAAATAAATAGAGTTTTGATTTCTTTTATAACTTTAGTAATGTCTGTTTTCCTAGCTTTCAATAAATTAAATTTAACAAAGATCAATTGGAAACCTCCTGGAGTTTTGGATTAAATAAATCTTCAAAAAGAAAATGTTGATACATTTGCAGATCATTTAATTTTTATAAATTCCCAAATAGATTTGATACCCAGGTATTGAAAATTTTTTAGCATTGAGTTTTATTCAATCCAGAAGTGCTTGATTTTTCAACATGATCCATACAATTACAATTGTTTTTCTGTAGAGTTTTTTAATCAAGTCAAAATTACCATCATATTTGAATTTTGTGTGTCCAAGGAATTGTTCAATACTTTCATAATAACCACACAAGTACTAAATGCAAATAAAATCAAATAGTATAATTTATTATTTTGTCCACCAGCATTATCATAAGCAATCTTTAAATGATTTTCACCTTTGTTCGATTTCTTAATTCCAAGTGCCATTAGGACATTTTCCTATAATTTCCATTCCGGCAAAACCACCTCCAAGGTAAATAACAAAATCGAAATTTGTTACACAAAAAAAAGGAAAATCGGCTCTGGAAGTTTAGATTATCCAAAAATTTTACTTGCTTTAAAAAAATATTAAAAGATCAACATCATCAAGATGCTCAATATTTTCTTCGTGGTCTTCTCTGTTAAATTGATATATTTCATACTTTCTTTGAATTATCTCATTTGTCTGATAAAATTATTCTTAAATTAAATATTTTCTTCAATGCAATTTCATGTGACCTTTTTACGAATTAATTCCAGAAAATTGGTACTCCGAATTTTGGGTCAAATTTTACTTAATCTGGCAAAAACCTTAGTTGGTTAGACCTTTGAATGTCTCCCAAAATATTGTCTCGGAAGAAAAACGGACTGGAATTACTCAAAAATCAAGCTCATGAAAAGAAATAGTCATCATCACCATCACCGATGCTAAAAACAAATCAAAAAGAGCCAATTCAATGTCCAGAAACTCCACCGATTCGAACAAGAAATATTGCTTTCTCATTAAATAAATATTGACCGTTTCATCCATGTAAATTACTTCTAAATTAAACACACACACACATATATAAATATAATATGCATGCTATTTGTATTAAAAGAAATACTAACTCTAAAGAAAATTACAAAAAAAAACTTGAAATAAATAATTTTTTATTAACTAATCACACGCACTATATGCATATAATTTTTTAATCTTGTTCTGGGTCTATTAAAATATTATTCCTTCCTCCTCCCGCAATGACCTTTACCTTTGCATCCATACTAAAAGGATTCCCATCATAAGCAACAAAACTTGCTGCATTACCATTAATCAACCCATTTTTTCTAGTATTCTTGTTATTATCATCATTATCACCACCATTATCATCAACCACATCTTTATTCAAGTCTAAAATATTTTCCAAATTCCATGTAATTAATCCAACGATTTCCTTTTCTTTAAATAATCCATTACTATTTTTAAATACCCAACCTGCATCCCACACCAAATTCCTCGCTAATGACGAATCACTTACTCCTATTCCTATTTTAACTTTGTGTTCATGTAATATTTCAATACATGTTCTGTTTGTTATTGGTTTACCAATTAAAACATCTTTTGTTGACCATGTATTAGGTGTTGGTCTTGTTGGTCTCAGTATCACCGAAACGTTTTCTTCGTATAATTCTTTTGCTACCAAATGTGATTCACTACCACCTAATATGACTAAATTAATATCACCGCCATGTGCTTTAATATGTTTTTTCAATTTAATTAATGCTGATATCTCGTCTTTATTATCTACCTCAGCTACTAATGGAATTTTTCCATTTATTATATATTTAAAAATATCATCAACATCGTTGTTATTTCTAAACAACAACAATAATTTACGTAATGTTGATATTTGACTTGAAATTGTTGGTAAATATTTGCTCTTGTGTTTTGATCCAATATGGACATGTAACGCAGTAGCTTCTTTAATAATTGCTTCTTTGTCAATAATTTTACTTGCTCCTGTTTTAAAAGCAACCGAAACTCCAGATATTAACCCTTTAGTAGAGATTGGCGATGTTATTACGTTAAATATTCCAGCTTTATATGCTACGTCCAAATGTTTACCGCCCAATTTCAATCCATCTAATGCGTATATAATTTCGTTAGGATTGCCAGAGAATTCGACTTCTCCATCTGATGTACTTTCTTCTTGCATAATTTCTCTTAATCCGAGATCAGATCCCACTGCAGTAATTCCCTAAACATCAAAAAAATGGGTTTTTTTAAATTAAATCAAATAACTAAATAAATAATTTACAATTCAAAATTCATTTACAAAAATATAATTTTACATATAACATTAACTAAACTTACAGGGAGTACATAACCACCACATAAATCCACGATTTCAAATAATGAAATTTCTTCTGGATCTTTACAATCCGATCCAATACAATCCACAATACCATCTTTAATTATAATATTTATAGTTTCATTTCTTAATAGATTTGTTGAATCAATAATGTAATCTTGATTAATAAACACTTTCCCGATATTTTTAATAATAATTGACGAGACTGTACGCGATTTAACTTTATCATCATTAGTTATTTGGTGGTTATTGATTTTTTTATTTTCAGTTAGATTTTTAGTGGTAGAATTTTCTAAGAGAGAAATCGATGCATCAAACTGTGGAATACCATCTATGTATACTTCTAAAGGTGTTGCACCAAGTGATAATGGATAAGAATCCCAAATCTACATATATATATATAAACACATCTCTATATAATTAATTTATCAAATATATGTATTTATAATTATATAAAATGTATAATGGATTCACATTACCACTACATCTGCATCATATCCAACTGATATACGTCCAATGCGATGACCTAAACCAAGTGAATTAGCCGGTACAGAGGTTATGGCAGCAATTGAAAGTGATTTACTCAATCCATAATAATGAGCTTTAGCAGCCTCAAAAACAAATGTTTGAGCATTTATAACAGGGTGATTACTTATTAAAGAAACTAAAATGTTGTTATCTGCCAATATTTTTGGTCCTTTTGTACTACCACCAAAGGATTCTTTTTTAGAGCCCCATAAATCTGAAAATAAGGCAACAGTGATATTACCATTTCCACGTTTAATTATTTCTGGAATACGGTAAGCGTCTGATGCATGATGTATGGCTGCAATTGTAAAATTAAATTCTAAAGAGTGTCGAATCATTGTTTCAATGTCATGTGTCTATTATTATTGTTATTGATTATTATCGACCGTAAAAAGATTTATTGTGACACATATTAATTTATTTTGTGTCTGAATAAACAATAAAAATCGATAATAATAATGATACCAACCTCATAACAATGAACATTTAATTTAGCATCGCCTCTTAACAAAGCAATCAAACTTTCATACTTCAGGTCCTCTGGAAAATTGGTGCTCAATTGTTCACTACCGCCAAGTCTTCTTGCTGAATTACACCAATTATCTTGACTTTGTTTTATTTTGAGTGCTTCTGAAAAACTTCTACGAAATAGCCATGCTATTCCCATCCTAGTGCGTGGAGCATAACGTTTACCACCATAATCGTGCTAATATTAGTTTGAATATACATAAATGTATAACATAATTAATTAATTGGTTAAAAATTCGTGTTTAATAATCTAAAAATGCATCATTATTTTAATATACCTTTGGACTTTCACCACATGTCATTTTCAGCCATCTCCATTTATGTTCTTCTTCAGGATTTATGTTTGCATTAATACTCATATCATCAACTGAAAGTGTATCAACCAATCGCATCTTTATAACATAGCCTTCACCACCCATTACGTTAGAACTTCCAGGCAAAACTAGATATGTATATGTATATGTATATGAGTATTTTTAAATACTTGCAAAATGTATAAAACACAATATCTGAAAATTGCTATCAAAACAAACTTCGCACCCAATGAAGTTGTAACACCACCAGAAGCCACAATTCTAATTGCTAATAACATAAAATATATAAATATATTATTACATTATATAATAATAAATGTATTCTTTTATTTTAGCTTATCGAATTCAACTAACCAGGATCATTTGGATTTAATCCATCCTTGGCACGTACCTAACACAATAAAATTAAGTTAAATAATAATAAATAATAATGATAATGATAATAATAATAGGCATTCACTAACATAAGGTGTAATCATTTCATTCCATTCATTGTAATCTCTGTTTGAATTTAAATAAGGCCAAGAATCTAAACCCACATGACTAACATATTACAAATGAATGTAATTAATTATAAATAAAATAAATAACAAAAATTTTATAATCATTATCTAGAATAAATAATACCTATACATGTCAACTAAACCAGGAGAGACATATTTCCTCTTAAGATTGATAATAATAATTTCATCATCATTAAATTTTTGTTGCGTCTCTTTCATTTTCTTTAGATAATTACTAATTTCATCTCTACTAATACTTTTAATTATACCATCCTGCATTAATAAATCACTTTCGATTGCATCATCACTCACACCATCCAAGATCAGTGCGTTTTTTAATAATATCGTTTTTGATGCCCCAGTATATCTAGGGTTTTTTGTTCTAACTAATTTACTATTATCAAGTTTTTCACGGTTAATCTCATTGCATTTCAATAAACCTTGTCTATAAGTTTCTGGTGCAATTCCTGCTTGATACTGAGCTAATCTAGGTGGTTTGAAATTTAATTGATAGGTGTTGTATAGAATTGTAAAAGATGTGCATATTATAAAAATAAATAATAATAATAATAAGTTTTTTCTTGTTGAAATTGATTGTGAAGACAGTATTTTTCTATTAAAAACTAAATTGTTTTTAGTATGAAAATCTTGGCTGTTAGAAGAAACATGGATTTTTCTTGGTGACATTTGATTTTGATAATTAAATAAATTTTTTCAATAGATTGATGGATGGCCTTTCACACCACAATCATAATTACCATATTTGGAATTATCTTATTAATTATTGGTGTTACGAATTGATCGACATTGTTTTATCTTCCCAAATTTTTCTATGATGAATAAACAATTACAACAAATTGGAAATTTAAATGAAATTTTAGATAATATATTCCCAACTCAAAATGATGTGTTTCCAGTCAAACGTGATAATAACAATCAAATAACATCAGAGTCTGGTAATGGAGATTTTGAATCAATATTACATACAAGGGGAAGGTTATTATTGCTATAATTATTATCAAGAAAATAGATTGCTCTCATCTCTCATGTAAATATAAAATTAACGTTATAATTCTGATTAGTATAGAAATATGGCAGCAAATATCTAATGATTCAAATGAAACTCCCTTTCAATGGAAAAAATCTTTAATTAGAAAAGAATTTTATGCTGCCTTGGGAATTTCAATAGAAATATTTGAGGAGGTAAATAAGAAAGGAAAAATTACTATTTTTTTTATTTATATTTGATTATTTTTTTTAGAAATTTGAACATCATTTATTAAATCATATATATATTTCAATAAGACTAAATTAAAAGCAAATTTGAATCTTAATAATGTTGAAATGCCAAATATAACATCATCTTCAACGAATGGAACAAAAGTTACAAATAAATCGACTACTTCTTTGTCTGCACCTGTTAGTCGTTCTACGTCACCAACACCAACACCTCCGTCCAGTTTCTCACAACGTGATCTTTTATCTTCTTCCATCATTACAACAACAAAAAATAATAATAATCAAATGCCTAAAGAACCAAAAAAAGTTGATGTAGAATTAGCCAAATCATTATGTTCGATACCCGAAGGTATTATTAAATATATTTTTTACTTGCTCGAAATTTTTAATTATTCGGAATGTTTAAAATTAACTAACGGTGATCTAATTAGACACACTGCAAACATATACAGCCTCCCAATTACTTGCATTTAAATCACAACTTCTGGCACTTTCACGTCAAACATCAGACGTATTAACTTATTGGTTGGATCAACGTGAACAAACAATGATGGATTCTGAAACTTATAATCAAATGATTGAATGTTTAGTTGGTCATGCACAAAAAATGAGAGATGGAAGTGGAAATAGATGGGATAAACTGAAGAAGCCAAAGAATAAAAGTATTAGCGGCGGCGTTACTAGTGGATTCGGTAATTATATAGTTATTTATTTATAATTTGGAGAAAAATTGACTTCTCTCCAGATTTTTTTAATTTTGATAATACATTAACTAAAAATATAATATTGATAGCATCACTTAGTCTTTCATTCATGAAACAAAAATCATCTTTACAAGATTCATATAACAACAACAGCAACAATGATCAAAAATTCGATGGTAAAGAATTAAATGATAGGCCAATTTCAATGTGATGGAGGAAGGAAACTTAAAAAGAAAATTTTTTAGTAAAAGACAATATATATTTCATTTATATATATAATTTTAGAATGAATTTATAAATTCTTTGATTTTTTTCTATTTATTTTTATAATTTTATATATTGTAATTTTTATTGTACTAGATTATCATATTTATTTTTACTATAATATAATATTATTGAGCAATAACAACCATAGATTTGAATATTACTATTCTTAACTAATTTGTTTATAAAAAGAAACACAATCTTTTGAATTCGCTACAATGCACATTGAAGTAGTGGTTGTACCTGTTGATTATCTGGATAATCGGCTATTCACTGAATATCCGTTGAATATTCATTGATTTAAATTTGTTTAAAAAAATATAATAATAAATTTAATACAAAAAATATAACATTATTTATTCATCAGGAAAAACGTTTTCATTACATTCATATTTTTTTAATGAAATACAATTCTTTCAATAACAATGAATTCAATTTTGTTCGTTTGGCTATTATTGCGTTTCCAGCTTCACTAAATAGATGCCGCAATACATAAATATTTTTTAGCCAATAATGACACAGTTGGGTGTTCATCTTGTAATTCTCCTCCCACCATGTAAATAGATCCATCTTCCAATTAATTTCATCTAGTAGAAAGAATGTTTGCAATAGTGCAATAGTGGAAATAAAATAGTATTTACATTATTATTTTTTAATTATATTATTCGCCAATTATCTGGTGAAATTTTTCAACAATGCCCGATTAATATTAACCAGGTAATCGGTGAATGATCGGTGAATATCATTGGCGGGTACAGCTAATAAATATGACGTCAGTAAAAATAATTTTCTATTATCACAATATTCACGAGGCGTGTTTTTGATTTACATTCGCATTCATACGAGCTACACTTGTGCAAGAAGACATTTTTAAGCCAAAGTTGCGAGGTGGTTTTGGGAATATTTATGAAATGTGTAATTCGTGTAACATCTTGTAATTTCTCTAATTGCAGATCCTCCTATTAGCATATGAAAAATTGAAAAAAAAACCAAAACGAATTTACTAGACATTCATAATTAAGCAAGATATTACAATAATAATGGCAACAAACTCTCTTGCTATACCTTCCACCGATGGCGTCACTTCAAATACTTCTTCACTACAAGTAACAAATCGAAGTCATTCTACAACGCTTTCTTCAACAAACAATTCACTACCATCTGTTGGAATTACACGGCGACACTCTATCTACGGAACTGGTGAAGATAGAATTGTGTTGGATATTGGAAGTCTTTATATTAAAGCTGGGTTTAGTGGTGAATCGAGACCAAGGCATATAGTACCTGTTTATGCAGGTAATATGAAAACACACTGGGACCAAGATTTTAATGGCAGTGGTGGAGTAATAAAAGCTTGCGGAGAAGGGTGTAGAATAGTTGGCGAGGTAATTTACTTTTGTTTCTTTTTCACCCTCTTTACCTTAAAATTTGGTTGTTAACATATAACAGTTTGCAGAATTATTTGATCTAGAGATTGAGAAACATCCTGATGGAATTGACACTTTGTATGATCGACTGGCACATTATCTTCGAGAAATTTATTTTAGGTAAATGCATACATACTTGGACATGAATACGTACGTGTATGAAAATGAATTTTTTCCTTACTAAATGACTTTTTTTAGATATTTATTAACAGATCCAAAACAACGTAAGGTTGTATTGTGTGAATCACCCATGATGCCATTAAAATTAAAACAATTGATTACCAAAGTACTTTTTGAAAATTTGCAGGTACACAAATATAACATTAATAAAAGTGCCAGAAAATAAATATAAAATAGAATAGAATATTATTAATTTATTGATAATATTGTTATGATTATTAATTAGGTTCCATCTATTTCTTTTGCTCCTTCTCATATGTTGGCATTATTAACAACTGGCTGTACAACAGGATTAGTGATTGATGTTGGTCATTTAGAAACAACAGTGTTACCGGTATTTCAGCTTACTATTATTAAATAATTTATACAAAAAAATATCCTTAAATATAATACTTTATGATTATTATTATTATCTTAGACATTCTCAGCTCGCCCGTTAACTCCTTTTATTAAAACAACACCATTAGCAGGCCGTGCATTAACAAAAAGACTTAAAGATCTATTATCAACCTATGGTAGTATGATTATTCCACCATCAACCAGCCTAGTACCAGTTCATGGCAAATATTTGACACATGCTGTCTTGGAGGATATAAAAACTCGGTTTATTTTTGTCAGTCCAATTATGGTATCTGCGTCATCAATTGGTATAGCCGAGAAGACAGATGTTGAGGATATGGAACGTAAATATGCTTCAGTTAGTTCGTCAACTGAAATTTTGTATCCTATTACTATCAGTAAAAATGGTAGAGAGCGACAAATTGGAACTCTGGTGGTTCCTGGATGGATTAGAGAACGGTGTGCTGAAGTTTTATTTGAAGGTGATGAAGACGAGTCTAGTGTGGTTGGATGTGCACTTGAATGTTTATTAAAGGTAATAATCCATTATTATTTCAATTGTATATTTTTGCTAGTATTATTATTAATTGTTTATTCTAATAATATTTAAAGACACCAATATATTTGAGAAAAGAACTCGCATCTTCTATCCTTCTTATTGGTGGCACGGCATTACTTCCAAACTTTCAATCAAGATTTGCACAAGAAATTCTCCGTGCTTTACACACGGATAAAAGGTTTTCTTCTTTAAGTGGATTGGTTGATCATATTGATTTTTTGGAAGATAACGGTAGTGGAAAAGTTTTTGTTTCAAATTGTCGAGCATGGGTTGGTGGTAAGTTCAAAAAATTATTTTCTCGGGAAGTTATAGGAAATTATAATAAATCAATACTCATATCTTATGAATATGATGAATATATATATATATATATATATAGGTTCATTGATAGGTTGTTTAAAATCTACGATAGTAGAAATTTCAAGAGATAAGTATAATGGCGAAGTTCCAGATTGGACAATTTCAAACATGACTTCCTCTTCCTCTTCTACTGCTTCTCCTTCTAATAACAATAATAATACACCTACATCTACTATTACTGTTACCACTACAATTGCAGCATAATTTTATCATATTTCGAGTTTTTAATTATTAGGCTATATATATATACATTAGTATTAACAATAGTCATTATTTTAATGTAAAGTTTATTTATTTTATTCATATCTATATAATAACTTGATTAACAAATTATATTATTTCTTCGCCACATTCCCATCTCTTAAAATCTAAAATTTTTATTTCTGCACCAGATACATTTTTAAAATTTTCTAAAACTTGTTTAACAGTTCCTCCACCATACAGGAAATCCTGGTATAAAAGTACATTATCTCTTAAAAATTCATCCTTATTGTTATAATTCCCAAGCATTTTGGAAGAGATGATTTTATCATCTTTATCATCATCGATGTATTTGGGATTATATCCTACAATTTGACGTGCTATGTTTTGAATCAACTTACTAGTCGAGTCTAACGATTGATTGAGGTTTTGACCCAAAACTTCCACTACTACAAGTCCACCAATTCTTCCAGTCATCGAATCACCTCCGTGTACGTATCCACCTGTTAAAACAATTCTATTATTATTTAATGATCTATCACCGTCACCATCATAATTATTTTTTAGTCCAACAACTTCTGCTCTACGTATAACAATATTTTCGCCTAATTTACTAATTATATCCATAATTGATTGTTGAATAGTTGTTGCATTGGAATTATTATTAATAGAATTTGAAGAAGGATGGGGAAGTAAAGGTAATGTGTTAAGAACTAAAGGTGAAATTGGATTAATAATAATTTTATCATTATCACTAATTTTAGTTGTTGGGATTTTGTTTTCACCATTATTGTTTTCATTAGTAATGATATCGTTGGATAAAAAAAGTGTGGTGGACGCAATTTGAGCGACTAATTGTTGAAATAACAAGTTACGCGAAACAAAATCTGTTTCACAACTTACCTAGACCGTTATGATTTATGATTGATTAATTATAGATTATAGTCATAGAAATTTTATTGTTATTACTATTTTATTACTGGTGAAAATACCTCAACGATTGCGCCTCTAGTTGTCGATGTCAAGCCATCATTGTTTTCTAAATTTTTCGTTAATACAACTCCTATTAGACCTTCTTTTGCAATTCTATCTTTAAGTTTTTCCGCCTTTTTTTGGCCACTAATTTTCGAGTCTTCAATAAGCCATTCTTTTGCTTTATTATAGTCATTATTATGTTTGACGAGTGCTTCTTTAGCCTTGCTTAAACTAATCGATGTTTCTTGCCGAAGTTTTTGTAAAAGTTTTAAATCGGGTTTAACACCAGTCGTAGTTGTTGGTACTTTTAATGTGGTAGCAGTATGAAATGATCTACTTGACAAGTTATTACTGGGATAATTGAATATTCTTTTTTTAAAAGACGGAGGAATTGTTGTTATATTGAATATTATTTTAATTTTTTGATATCGATAATACATTTTTAAATCAAAAAAATGTAAATCTCTCGAAGGAGTGTAACACAAAAAAATCTCTAAAATAATGTGTAAATAATAGTAGAACTTCTTGATGGCATAAGAAAAAGGTTATATGTTATTTTTGTTTATTTCATTAAAGTACAGCAACAGCAGAAACGAAACGAAGTAGTATTGTATCCGTTGATTATCCGGTGAAATTTTCAACATCCGCCCGATTAAATTAATCATTGAAAGTTTTTCAACACCCGATTAACTGGATAATCGGTGAATGATCTATTACAATTGAATATTATTCGGCGGATACAACCATTAAAACTTTGAAGTATCGGGAATTTTCTTTTAAAAAAAAGATTTTCAAAAGACAGAAAGTATCATGTCAACTCGTTCGCCCATATACAAATTGATCTAGATTCATTTCCAAATTTGCTAATAATCCTGACCATCTTGTAATTTTTATAAACGATCTGCGGATCTGTGTTGCTAAATAACTCTCTCTTGGCAGAGTTAAAAAAAAAATGTCAAAAGAATTTAATTTTGAAGAAAACCCACATAGACGTTTTAATCCATTAACAAATTCATGGGTATTATGTTCACCTCAACGTGCTAAACGCCCCTGGTTAGGTCAGGTGGAATCTAGTACTCTAGAAATTTTACCAAGCTATGATCCAAAGTGTTATTTATGTCCAGGAAATTCACGTGCTCAAGGTGATCATAATCCTAATTACTCAAACACATTTTTATTTGATAACGATTTTTCAGCTGTTGAATCAATCTCACCTGATTATGAAACAGAAGTTTCTGGTAAAGGAAAAGAATTTTCTTTTTGAATTGATTTAAAAAAGTAATGCAGAGTTTTTAAAATTTTTATTGAAATTTTAGATAAATTTTCATGGTTGTTAAGAACACAAAGTGTAAAAGGTCAATGTAAAGTGATGTGTTTTTCACCAAACCATAATGTAACATTAGCAGAAATGTCACAAGAAGAAATTTCAAAGGTTGTTGAAACCTGGATAGAAATATATCAAGGATTATCATCAATTCCACATATAAATTATATTCAAATTTTTGAAAATAAAGGTGCAATAATGGGATGTTCCAATCCACATCCACATTGTCAAATATGGAGCACTGATTCAATACCATGTGAACCAACAAAAGAATTTGAATCAATGAAGTACTCTAGAAATTTTACCAAGCTATGATCCAAAGTGTTATTTATGTCCAGGAAATTCACGTGCTCAAGGTGATCATAATCCTAATTACTCAAACACATTTTTATTTGATAACGATTTTTCAGCTGTTGAATCAATCTCACCTGATTATGAAACAGAAGTTTCTGGTAAAGGAAAAGAATTTTCTTTTTGAATTGATTTAAAAAAGTAATGCAGAGTTTTTAAAATTTTTATTGAAATTTTAGATAAATTTTCATGGTTGTTAAGAACACAAAGTGTAAAAGGTCAATGTAAAGTGATGTGTTTTTCACCAAACCATAATGTAACATTAGCAGAAATGTCACAAGAAGAAATTTCAAAGGTTGTTGAAACCTGGATAGAAATATATCAAGGATTATCATCAATTCCACATATAAATTATATTCAAATTTTTGAAAATAAAGGTGCAATGATGGGATGTTCCAATCCACATCCACATTGTCAAATATGGAGCACTGATTCAATACCATGTGAACCAACAAAAGAACTTGAGTCAATGACAAATTATTTTAAAAAATATCAAACATGCTTATTGTGTGATTATATTTTAGTAGAAGAAACCAAAGGGAAAATGCGTGTAGTTTATGAAAACAATTCATTTATTTGTTTGACACCTTATTGGAGTATTTGGCCATTTGAAACTATGATAATCTCAAAATTTCATTTAAAGAATTTCAATGATTTTTCAAAATGTGATGGAAATTCATTAATAAAAGATTTTTCAAATATTCTACATATTATTACTTGTAAATATGACAACTTATTTCAGTGTAGTTTTCCTTATTCAATGGGTATACATCAATCACAAACTGACAACGATGGTAAAAATAATATTTGTGATTCACATTTTCATGTGCATTTTTATCCTCCATTATTAAGAAGTGCTACCATCAAAAAATTCTTGGTTGGGTATGTTATAAATCATATTTTTAATAATAGTTTAAATGTTTTCTAATTTTTCTAAAAAAAAATTTTTTAGATATGAATTACTTGCTGAACCTCAACGTGATATCACCCCAGAACAAGCTGCTGAAAGATTAAGAAATTGTTCCGAGATTCATTATAAAGTTCAAAAAAAAAAATAATTTTATATTATTTGTATTGATTAGTATTTGAGGAAAGAGTTATTATTTATTTATTTATCTGAAGGGGTGAAGAAAAATAGAACATTAATAATATTTTTTACAAAAAAAAAGAAAAATTAAATAATTAATAAATTTTATTCAATTTATATTTTACATGTTTCAGAAAACTCCCTATGTCATATTTTTCAATAACTAAATCTTGATTATTTTTCTTGTTAGATGCAAAAGTTAAAGACCCAGCAATTCTTTAACAATAATTGAATCATTTGTATAAAGCAAAGCTTGTTTCCAATGTGTATGGCATATTTAGGATGTGGTCCTAAATCATATATATTTAGAGAATGAGGAAAAGAATATGTATCCTAGAATAATAAATAATAATTATTGTTAGAAGAATTCAAATTAAGAAATAATTGTATCTCTGACTACTGTTAGAGTGAATGGAATTTTTGAAATCAAGATTTGGATTGATGACAATTTCCTAAATTATTAAGAATACTTTAAATACTTGTATTGCAGCTGGTTTTATTACAAGAACTTTATTATGAATTTAATTAAATTGAAATCAAAGCCATAAACATTATTCCATTATCAATAATAATTATCATAATTATAGTTGTAATTGTGGTTGATAATAACAATAAATACTATTATTATTATAAATTTAAATATAAATTATTGCATTCATGGGAAAAATCATAATGCCAGATTTCTATTAACCAAATAATAAAATAAAAATAAATAATTAATATATATACTCTCTCTCCAAACAATTAATATTCCCTAATGCTAATTTAGGCACATTGTACAATTATGTCAGTATCTAATTCAATTTATATAAAAGAAAATAACCCATTTATGATGATGTTTACTTGTTCAGCTGATAATTTTACTCCTTCCATCTTGCTTTTAATGATTAATGAAGTCAATTTCCAAATTAAACCACATGTTGATATATGATATGTTGAAAATTAAGGTTCAATCAATTCAATTCAATTATATTATTATCATGTTACTAAATCCATACCACCATCTAACTTGCTATCTGATGTACTTGATCAATAATATTGACATGTCGATCTACATAAAATTTATATTACTATCATACATACTCCATAAATATATTTGGCACCAGCCTTTGCTGCAAATATTCCAGCTCCACATCTTACATCTAGTATAACTTTATCTGTGTGTTTGATAAGTTGCTAGTGTCTGAACTTCATCTTTAAGCATCTCCTCATGAATTCAAATCAATAGAAGATAATAATGAGGATGACCAAACTTTTAGAACATAAATTTACCAAAATATGCACTCGTTAAAATAATAATCATCATTTTTGAGTTTTATTTGAGTTTTCATTGTTGACATCTAAGAAATTTTACTGCAGAAACTTGCCATGTAGAATTGTAAGTTTAGACTTTAAAAGTTTGTTGACCTAATTCGACGAAACAGATTCTAGTGAAGAAGGGTTGGTAGAGGAGATCATACATAAGCCACCAGTTCCTGTAAAGGATTCTTCAAAGGAAATTATAAGAATCTGTTCAATTATGTATGGATTTTTAGGGTAATTATAAATAACATGATAATAAAACTATTATCAAATGAATTATCTTTATAATTGTTGCTAATTTTAATACAATATAAAATTAACATACAGTTGTTTATTGGAAACCAGATGGAATTCTTATCATTGTTCAGGTGTTAATGTATGGATTATTGTCTTTTTAATTTTAAACCTCAAGTTGCTTGTTAATTTTAAATTATTAGATCAAAATTGATTATTTACATTTAATGTCATGCCATTAGATGATAAATGTTGTAAATATCATTTTTATTAAAACTCAGAATGACAATTAGAATTGGGTATGAAAGCATGTTTCTGTTAATTAACAAGTGAAAAAAAAATATTAATATTAATATGAAACGAGTGCAAAATAATACGTTAATTATGTTAAACCATTTAAAA